CTATGAGTCCTCATTACTTGACATTTACAAAGTAAAATTCCTTGAAATATCTGCTCTGTAACCATAGAAACTTCAAAGCGCTTACCTTGGATGAAATCGCTCTGTGTACCAGTGTATTTATGTACGGGGCCACAGTAACAATAATCACATGTAATTCAATCAGTAATAAAGCAAACAGATACCGTATGAATAATCCATAATCAGAATCGTGCTAAAAAAACAGATCAGTCATAACCTATTTTGAACAAAAAATCTATTTCTGAAAAATCTAACTCATGAAGGATGTTGCGTTTTGACTTATATATAATGAAATGTCTTTCCTGAAAATTATACAAAAGCATATCCTCATATAAAGTAAACTAAAATTGAACTATTGCTCAACAAATCTTTGAAAAAATAACCATTTATAAAAAATAAAGACTTATTCGTGAAATCGGCATTTGTCTTAAAGCTGCTAGGATGCTTTAGTCAGTAGCAAAATTATCTAATGAAATTATTTGTTTGGTAGATGTTTCAACACATACAAGTACATATTAATATTTTAAAATATGAAATTACTTATATGTCATCATAAATAAATATTATTATATGGAACTTCACAGGTTAAATTTTGTCATTGCTGTCTCGATTCTAACTGAACACTGACTGAAAAAAATTAATTTCTTCCTTTAATCATACCTCTTTACGAACAGAGTCAGAAACCAACTAGCCAGTTCAGCAAATGAAAAAATGCAGGTATTTAAATTGTGAACCCACACACTTCTCCACAAATGATAAAATAAACTGTTATCTTTTCAGAAATGTGTAGCTTACAAGTACAACAATGCATAAAAAAAGCCATAACACATTGTTACACTTCGGTACTGAATGGTACCATGTATGTTTTACTCTCTTAGTTAATTTGTAAATTTTTTTCATAATTTCCGTATTTTCTTTCAGCCAATTTGGACGTGAAATGTCATTAGAGTAGACACATCTTAACTTTGGATATTTCTAGTTCTGTCCGAGACCTTGTCTGCTAATTGGAAATTAACCAAGTTTCTTGTCGGGAATGTAGCTCGTGATGTCCAGTAATAAAAAACTGTATTTCTCTTCAGTGAATCGGGCAATGGCTTGGACTTCTTCAATTCCAACACTCAATCACAAGTAGACAGTGGTTCGTGAAGAAAGGAGTTTTGTGTGCAAAGCTGATTTAAGATGTCATTGTGTTTCGCGTTAGAAAGCTGAGTTATCCTTTGTTTTGTAGATTTTGCTGAGATTTTTCTTTATTCAAAACTTTTAGCAGATTGAGATATTTTGGTAATAATTTTGAAATAACTTTTCATCAGAGCTTTCTGTAAGACATAACATTGTTTTAGTTTAGCTTTGGGTTTATTTCCATTTTGTAGTTTCACTTAGTTTTGGTTTACCTGATAGGGAAGAGAGCACAGAATGGATTGGTAGAGATAGTACTCACTAAAGTTTCACTTCTTTTTTCTCTCTCTTGCCAGTTCAACACAGCTGCAATAAAAAACACTTGCCCACGTTTTATTTGTGATTGTGTTTCTTCTGTTATTTATTAATAAAGATTATTCTTGTACAACTTCCATGGTCCATTCTTTCTTTCTGACAAACTCAGTTTCAGATCAAAGAGATAAATAGACGCACATTTTGTAACTCGGTATCTTTCGAACCTCCACATAGAGGGCTTTAACCAAAATATGCGGACCAGGAAGTACTAGAGAATAGTTTGTTTGTTATGAATTTCGCACAAAGCTACACGAGGGTTATCTGCGCTAACCACCCATAATTTAGCAGTGTAGGACTAGAGGAAAGGCAACTAGTCATCACCACCCACCGCCAACTCTTGGGCTACTCTTTTACCAACGAATAGTGGAATTGACCGTCACATTATAACGCCCCCATGACTGAAAGGGCGAGCATATTTGGTGATCCGCAGATTGCAAGTCGAGCTCCCTAACCACCTGACCATGCCTGGCCACAGAGAATAGAAGGAAGGTGGAAAACTGTTATGAAAGCTCTCTTAAAGTACACTAATTTGACTTTCTATAATATAAGAGAAGGAAATATGATGTGGAAAATACCACACACTGACTAGCTAATTCAAGGAAACTTAGGTACTGTATTGCAACCAACTCACTATTAAATTTCGCTGTTGTATTACATGAAAAAGCAGTATAAGGCAATATAAACAATTAAAGGAATTAAAGAATAAAAGAATTAAACTTAAAACTGATTCATTATTTTATTTATTTTTAAATTGGTTTACCTGATGATGCCAGGTTAACATGGTGAAATGTTGCAACCATAGATCTTGAACTCTGTATATCCAACAATAAATTTTTAATACGTACGAAACAATGATTTTAAACATTAATATATCTAAAGTAAACAGAAATTTCACAATGTTTACTTTTGTGTGCTTGAAGAAATGGAACCTAGGAAAGACATTTCCTACAAATGCTACAATTATATCGAAGTATAAAATACTAAGATGAAAGATATAATCTTTCTAGTTATTCAGTTCTAGGAATGTCTTAAACGAGGAAAAATTCAATATGTTTAAGTTCAACGAATATATATATATTAGTTGTTACTCAATGTGTTTAAGTCCAATGAATATATATATATATATATATATATTAGTTGTTATTCCGTGTTATTTTCTTTTTTGTCAAAAAATGTTTAGTTTCATTGATAATTTCTATAGTTTATAAAATGTTAACTGACTTATTCCTAAAAGTTTAATGTACTACAATTTAAATTCCGAACACAAACTTTTTGATAAAACGTAATTATGCTATAATCAATTTTTAACAATAGCTGATACTGCGTGAATAATGCGGGATTGGTAATGAAAATGAATACCTTATTTTTGTATTATAAATGTTTATTCTTAAAAAAAGACAACTAGATTTTTAGACAGCCCTTTTAAGCTCAAGTTATTCTGGTATACATTACCTGGTAATTATTTGATTGGCCCACCAGTGGCACAGCGGCAGGTTTGCAGACTTACAACGCTAGAATTCGGGTTTCGATACCCGTGGTGGGCAGAGCATAGACAGCCCATTGTGTAGCTTTGTGCTTAATTAAAAACAAACAAACAAAATATATGATTGATTTGTTTGTTTGTTTGTTGCCAAGCATAAAGCCACGCAATGAGCTATCTGTGTTCTACCCGCTGCGGGTATCAAAACCCGATTTTTAGGGTATAAATCTACAGATTTACCGCTGACCCACTGGGGAGTGCCATATTTGATGAAGAAGTCACTCATTATTAATAAATATTGCAAATATGTAAAATAAATCATAAACAAGGAGATTTAGTTATGTATTACACTACAACCAGTTTTATTAAGAAAGGACTTGTGTCGCTAAAGTTTCGTGGGAACGAAGTTACGGAAAATCAACTAACGAACGGAGACGTAACAATATTTTTAAGACTGTTGATACTTATGTCAAAACAAAAGGTCTTGATTGGAATAAATGTGTCGAAATATGTACGGACGGCGCACGGGCTATGTGTAGTAAAAACAGTGGTCTGGTGACCAGAATACTTGAACTTAATCCAAACGCATCATGGACTCACTGCAACCTTCACAGAGCAGCGTTAGTATCAAAATGTATATCTGATGATTTTAAAAATGTTTTGAACACTTCCATTGAAATAGTGAACTTAATAAAGTCAAAGCCATTGCAATCGCGCTTATTTGAGAAGTTGTGCGAAGAAATGGGAAGCAAACATAAATCACTTATTCTGCACACAGAAGTACGTTGGCTCTCGAGGGGTACAGTGCTAACAAGACGTACAGAACTCCGCGAAGAAGTTGCTATATTTCTGGAAGGTAAAAGCGATTTTGCGAGATATCTGAGGCTCACGTATTTGGCAGATATTTTTTCAAAACTAAACGAACTGAATTTGTACTTGCAAGGAGCAGAAGGTATCAGTATATTCGCAGTTCATGAGAAAATTCGAGGTTTCTTGAATAAACTTGTTTTATGGAAAAACTGTATTGACAACCGAAATTATCACTGTTTTGAAACATTTCAAACTGTTACGTCTCCGTTTGTTAATTAATTTTTTTCCGTAACTTCGTTCCGACGAAACTTTAGCGACACTAGTCCTTACTTAATAAAACTGATTTATTCTTTCCGAATACAACTTTACGATACACTTGATTTCAATATTCGCGCTAAAACAAACACTATAACGAACGAACGTTAACTTCAACAATACCCTGTGACCCTGCAGTTCAATCACTCACTACCTACACACACATTATTATCCCGTCACGTTGTCCCCCTCTTTTATATACCAGACTACCCTATA